ATGATGACCAAACGCTCAATTGCTCGAGCACACACACATGGCCTTGTACACAGCTACTGCTTATTTCCATTGAGTACAGTCACTTCCAATAAGGCGAGTGAGTATATTAGGAGAGAAACACTAACGAATGCATTCTATCGGAGGGCGATAAAGATGTCACGGCTTTATGACAGGCGAATAGCCTAGGCATCTATTGCTCCCGAGTGGAATGTCTCACGGTTGGTATAATGACTTTTACTGAATGTGAGAGCGCCCGAAATACACCTTGCAGTTGAGTGAGGCGGAGCCTTGGCACTGCCAGCAGGGATGACGCCGCTGTGAGAGGCAGCGTCCTCCATGCAGGCGTGCTGGCTGCCCGGGCAGCAGCAGGGCAGAAGGCACGCGGTGGACTTTACGGCGTGTTCCCTCCCACAGGCAGCAATCAGAGGCCGATAGAGAAATTTCACAAGGGTGGTCCCAAAATGTGTAATTCTTTAACTTGGATCCTACGTTAACAAATGTGATGCATTTGCTCTGGGCAATTCCAATAAAATGCCGAATTTGGGGATATCAAGGTGGGGGGGGGGGGGCACTGACCAGCTTCGTGTACATCCCAAGGTTGTGCTGTTAAAACATAATTCGGCTCGTGCATTTCCTAAGACGACCATCCATGATGCACGTTTTTAATCTGATCCAAAATGCCTGAAGATGAATGGTCTTCTCTGCTGCTGCACGACCCTTGAATGTGGACACGGGTGAAGCCAAGCCTCGCGGCACGAGGCCAGTGCACAGCAGCAATCTCGGCATGAGCGCACACTCAATTCACTTGGTTCACTTGGGCTTTTTTGCCTAGATTTAGTAACATTTGATTATTTCTATTTTATTCTGCTTGTTTACTCAGGAAAGCTTCATTGAGTCTCAATATTTTGCTTCAGGGAGGCTCCCCGGTAGGGTTTTGCGGTCGGGGGAAATTATTGCAAATTTGGACACAATGGCATCTCCTTCCCGAATGACGTGAGATGATCTTTAACGTCCCCTGCGAGGCACGCCGCGATCTGCTTGGCGATGGGAGGCCTCCTCCTCAACATCACGCACCCGGTTTGATCACAATCCACCTTCGATGACTGCCCGTGGTATTTACACCCGAGTCGTCGTCCAGCCGTGTGCCTTCACCGGAGGTCGTCATCTGTGTAAGTCAACACGTCGTTCTAGTTCACCAATCCAGTCATGTTTGTCTAACACGTAGCAGGCCTTCGCGACCAATATCATCCATAATAGAGTTTGTTTTTGGTTAGATCGCGTAAATGTGTCGTGTAAACCCGCCACCACCCGACATCAGCCAACTGGTCAGGGTTGTCGCGTAACGAGAACGTGCCACTTCGTCACTCGTGCCGCACGCCCGTGGTGTGTTGGAGAGCCAAGCCACAACATTTCGTCGCGTTTGCTTTGCGTCCTGTCCATCATTTTACAATCCCACTCGAACTCTCAACAAAGCCTCGCCCAGAAAAGCCACCCTCAGCCACTGCCCAAGCGACACTCGAGTCGGTGCGGCGACTCGGCCCGCTGCACGCGACGTCTGTGTGTGTGTAAGTGGCACGCTGCCGACCGAAGTCCGAACGGTGGATGCGACATCGAGACGGCGGCGCGGCCCCGCAGCGAGGAGCGGCGTCAGTGGGGCTCGCCCGGGGCGGGGGGGGGGCCTCTCCACGGGGCCCTTCACAACACCAACACAACCACCAACACCACCACCACCAACACCACCACCACCAGCGGGGCCCCTTCACAACACCAACACCACCACCACCAACACCACCACCACCACCAACAACACCAACAACAACCACCACCACCACCAACACAACCACCACCACCACCACCAACACCACCACCACCAGCGGGGCCCCTTCACAACACCACCACCACCACCAACAACACCAACAACAACCACCACCACCAACACAACCACCACCAGCGGGGCCCCTTCACAACACCAACAACAACCACCACCACCAACACCACCACCACCAACACAACCACCACCACCGGGGCCCCTTCACAACACCACCACCAGCCGGGGGGGGGGGGGGCTTCGCTCGCTCCTCTTCACCGTTAATTTCCCCACACCTGAGTTCTACTTGTATTGACCCCATTGAGATAATGGGCTGAGTCAACCCCCATCCATGATCGGAAATGAGGATGGGCAAAACAAATCGACACATCGGTAACGGTGATTACATTTGTGCTGAAACGTCAAACAACATCGGGATCTCGATGTTCTGACATCGCTGTTGTGTTGATCACGTTGGAAAAAAAGGCCAAAAAATTAATGTAAGCTCTTCGATGAAAACCCCTATATCTGATGAAAGCACGTCTGTGAAAGCTACGAGATATCTGTAAAAAAATACTTTATAGCTCATCGGATTCTTCCAGTATTAATATTCTAAAACGTCGTTCAGTCGTGGTGCACCATCGATGAATGGCGTCATGCATACTTGACCCCCCCCCCCCCCCTATGCGACAATGACGAGGTGACGCCTTCAAACTCAACTCAACGGGAAGTATTACTAGACGATCTAGAAGAGAAGTATTACATGTCACGCCGTGACGCCGAGGCGCGGGGGCTCCCCAACGCGCGGGGCCTGGGGCAGTCGCCCCGATTCGCCGTGCCCGAGGGAAGGCTCCGCTCGCACGCGATGCCACGATGCTTGTTACAGTCGAGTATCCACAAGTAGAGTATCCACAAGTCGCCCGTTCGATCTCCCGGCACGGCAGCTGAACCAATGGTCAAGTTGCCTCACGTCTGCCCACCGCCTCTGTCCCCCGAGCGGTATAAAGGGACACACCGCGGTTTCTCGCCCGCCAGCTCGCGTGTGGTGGGGTGGCGTGTGGTGATGTGTGGTGGGGTAACGTGTGGTGGGGTGGCGTGTGGTGGGGTAACGTGTGGTGGGGTGGCGTGTGGTGGGGTGGCGTGTGGTGGGGTGGCGTGTGGTGGGGTGGCGTGTGGTGGGGTGGCGTGTGGTGGGGTGGCGTGTGGTGGCGTGTGGTGGGGTGGCGTGTGGTGGCGTGTGGTGGGGTGGCGTGTGGTGGGGTGGCGTGTGGTGGGGTGGCGTGTGGTGACGTGTGGTGGGGTGACGTGTGGTGGGGTGACGTGTGGTGGGGTGACGTGTGGTGGGGTGGCGTGTGGTGTGGTGGCGTGTGGTGGGGTGGCGTGTGGTGGGGTGGCGTGTGGTGATGTGTGGTGGGGTAACGTGTGGTGGGGTGGCGTGTGGTGGGGTGGCGTGTGTGGGGTGACGTGTGGTGGGGTGGCGTGTGGTGGGGTGGCGTGTGGATGTGTGGTGGGGTACGTGTGGGGGTGGCGTGTGTGGTGGGGTGGCGTGTGGTGGGGTGGCGTGTGGTGGGGTGGCGTGTGGTGGGTGCGTGTGGGTGGCGTGTGGTGGGGTGGCGTGTGGTGGGGTGGCGTGTGTGGGGTGGCGTGTGGTTGGGAGTGGCGTGTGGTGGGGTGAACGTGTGGTGATTGGGGGTGGGGGGGGTGGCGTGTGGTGGGGTGGCGTGTGGTGGGGTAACGTGTGGTGATGTGTGGTGGGGTGGCGTGTGGTGGGGTGGCGTGTGGTGATGTGTGGTGGGGTGGCGTGTGGTGGGGTGGCGTGTGGTGGGGTGGCGTGTGGTGGGGTACGTGTGTGATTTGTGGTGGGGTGGCGTGTGGTGGGGTAAACGTGTGGTGATGTGTGGTGGGGTGGCGTGTGGTGGGGTGGCGTGTGGTGATGTGTGGTGGGGTGGCGTGTGGTGGGGTGGCGTGTGTGGGGTAACGTGTGGTGATGTGTGGTGGGGTGGCGTGTGGTGGGGTGGCGTGTGGTGGGGTGGCGTGTGGTGGGGTGACGTGTGGTGGGGTGACGTGTGGTGACGTGTGGTGGGGTGACGTGTGGTGGGGTGGCGTGTGGTGGGGTGGCGTGTGGTGGGGTGACGTGTGGTGGGGTGACGTGTGGTGGGGTGACGTGTGGTGACGTGTGGTGGGGTGGCGTGTGGTGGGGTGGCGTGTGGTGGCGTGTGGTGGCGTGTGGTGACGTGTGGTGGGGTGGCGTGTGGTGGGGTGGCGTGTGGTGGGGTGGCGTGTGGTGGGGTGGCGTGTGGTGGGGTGGCGTGTGGTGGGGTGGCGTGTGGTGGGGTGACGTGTGGTGTGGTGGCGTGTGGTGGGGTGACGTGTGGTGGGGTGACGTGTGGGTATTCGCCACCTCTTCAAACAACTCTTGTCAGCGTGCCAGAGGAGACGTCAGTGACCCTCTGGAGTGGCGCCTCTCGTCCGCCAGCAGTGGCGTGAGCGAGCTGCTTCGGGGCTGCGCCCGCACCTGCTATCACCGAGCACCGAAAGCCCCACCAGCTTCGTGAACGAAATGTCGCTGGCGCCGGTTACCGGGTGACGCCGCGCTCGTCTAAATGCCGCCGCGTCCACTCGAGGTGCACGCGGCCCGCGCGCCGCAGGCTCCCGTGATTTAAAACAACATTTTGACAATTGCGACATTTAACTGCGGCTGGCCTGAATGGATCCCCTCCACGTAGCCCTGTGGTGTGAGCGAGATAGAGAGCCGTGTCAGGCTGCTGGAGGGCGGTGAGGGGGGGGCACGGCCCGACCGGCCACGCGGCGCGTCCGTCACCGCGAGCGGCATCGTCGTGGCCGCACTCATCGGGGGCGCGAGAGCTCGGGGCGGTGGCCACGTGGTGACGCCGGCACCTCCGATGTGCACGGCTGGAGACGCAGCGCGCGAGGCAAGTCCGGCACCCTGCGGCCACCGTGCGCCCTGACGCCTGCCCGCGAGTGGTGACGGCCCGCGCGTGTGCCGACTGTGGGGTTAGTGGCGGGGGGGGGGGGCTATGAGGGTGCGAGGGTGCCCCCCCCCCCCCCGCGGCGCTCCGAGACGCGCGGCCCCCGTCCGCTCCCTCCCGGCGCGGCAGGCGACAGATTCCCCGTGGAGTCGCAACATTCCCTCGCAAAATTACATTCTGCGCTCCCCTCAAATAGGAGGCCGCGGCAAGACGCTCCCCGACAGCAGCAGCCGCATCAGTAGCAGTGGAACAAGCAGCAGCAGCATCAGTAGCAGCATCAGCAGCAGCATCAGTAGCAGCATCAGCATCATCACCATGAGGAGCAGCTCCATCGCCGTCGGCCACAGGAGCGCGACCGTGAGCGGCGCCGCGGGCCGCTCTCAGTCGTGGGCCTCGGCGCCAGGTCCCGGCCACCGCGGCGCGGGCCAGGCGGTGCTGGCGGTGTCCGAGGCGTCGCAGGTGGTGCAGGACGAGAAGGAGGAGCTGCAGGTGCTCAACAGCCGCTTCGCGGGCTACATCGACAAGGTGCGCCTGCTGGGCGAGCGCAACAGCGAGCTCAAGGCGGAGCTGGCCAAGCTGCGGCACAAGTCGGCGGGCCCCAGCAGCCTGTGGGCCGAGTTCGCGGCGCCCTTCGGCGAGGTGAAGGAGCGCATCGCGCGGTGCGCGCACGTCAAGGGCGCCGCCGACATCGCCAAGGGGAACCTGCAGGAGGACCTCGACTACTGGGCGTCGCGGCTCGAGCAGGAGCGCGCCCTGCGCGACCAGGCGCTCGGCACGCTCAAGGAGTTCCGCAAGGACGTGGACGACGCCACGCTGCAGAAGGTGGACCTGGAGCGCCAGGCGGAGCAGCTCACGGCCGAGATCGAGTTCCTCAAGAAGCTGCACGACGAGGAGGTGGCCGAGCTGCTGGTGCAGATCCAGGAGGCGAACGTGTCCGTGGAGCTGGAGGCGAACCGCCCCGACCTGGCGGCCGCGCTGCGCGACATCCGCGCGCAGTACGAGTCGGTGGCGACGCAGAACGTGGCGGACGCCGCGGGCTGGTACAAGAACAAGTTCGACGCCCTGCAGCAGCAGGCGGCCAAGCGCGACGAGCAGATGCGCGCCACCAAGGAGGAGATCTCCGAGTTCCGGCGCCAGGCGCAGAGCCTCCAGGGCGAGATCGACGCCTTGCGCAGCCGCGGCGAGGCGCTGGAGGCGCAGCTGCGGGAGATGGGGGCCGAGCACGCGGCCCGCCTCGCCGAGATGCGGGACGCGGCGGCGCTGCTCGAGGCGCAGCTGCGCGGCCTCAAGGCCGACATGGCCCAGCACCTGCGCGCCTACCAGGAGCTGCTCAACATCAAGCTGCAGCTGGACGCCGAGCTGGCCACCTACCGGCACCTGCTGGACGCCGAGGAGAAGCGCCTCAAGGGCGGCGTGGCCTGAGCCCAGGTAGAGCGCACCGCGGCGCGCACGACGCCGCGGCAAGGGCAGAGAGACGCGCAGCGCTGGGGAGACAAAGGCGGCCGGGCGTGGTGCTCGCCACCACACCTCGCGTGGCCGTGCCGGCATCAATAGTAGCCACAACGACAAAGATCCCCCGCGTCAATCTCGAATTGAAGCCTTCGTGACTGCACACATTACTATACTCGTTGGTGCTTTCGGTAAAGTCGCGTGTGCACAAGTAATGCTACTTGTGATGCATTTTCATGCGATTTCTGCATCCGTGACTTTACCGAAAGCACCAACGAGTAGCCCCGTGTCGCCTGTCGCAGCAGGGTGAAGGAGCCGGCACACACCACGCCAGCTCGCCGCCTTTGTCTCTCCAGTGGTGATGTTTACTACACACCGCGCTCCGGTCACTCGTTTGAGGCTGAGTCTACCTAGAGCAGGCCCAGTACCGGTTCACATAATCGTCACCGATGTTGGCCGTGAGCGGGAATCGAACTCGGGTGGCTGGGTTCGTAGCGCCACCGCTGCACCACCGCTCCCCACTAGGGCACAACAAGCCGTGGTGGTGGTGGTGGTCGTGGTGGTGGTGACAACACAAGGTGGTGGTGGTGGTGGTCGTGGTGGTGGTGACAACACAAGGTGGTGGTGGTGGTGGTCGTGGTGGTGGTCGTGGTGGTGGTGACAACACAAGGTGGTGGTGGTGGTGGTGGTCGTGGTGGTGGTGGTGGTCGTGGTGGTGGTCGTGGTGGTGGTGACAACACAAGGTGGTGGTGGTGGTGGTCGTGGTGGTGGTGACAACACAAGGTGGTCGTGGTGGGGCCTCGCGCGTCACACGAGCACGGCCAAGGCGCCACGCAGAGCGCCGTGGCAGGCGCTGGCAGCGAGAAGCCGATCGGCAGGGCTCACGAGGGGCTAAACTCAGCAGCACCACGCCCGCTCGCCGCCTTTGTCTCCCCGTGCTGATGTTTAACACACTGCACCACCAGGTATCCACGCGGTGCTCTATTGGGGATGGAAGTGGACTGCGCGCGTGCGAGGGGACAACGCGGAGCGCGGCCACCGCTTGCATTGCAGATTCGCGGTTCGAGGCGGACGGCCGCCCTGGTCAACGCCGCGGGGGGACGGTTCAGATCGCTGGCGCCAGTGGCCGCAGCGCGTCTTGCTCCGCATGAAAACTCCACCGCCGATTCCTCAGTTGGGTTCACTCGTAGCGACATCGCCCCATACTGGCAGACTATGAATTATCATGATTTGTTGGACCGCCTGATCCTGGCCACCGCTGAGCCCAGCAGGTTTGCGCAGAGAAGTGTTGGGCGAGAGGCGCTGTGGGGGGGGGGGCCGGGGGGGCGCCCTCCCCCCGGCCCCCCACACAGCGCCTCACTTCTCTGCGCAAACCTGCTGGGCTCAGCGGTGGCCAGGATCAGGCGGTCCAACAAATCATGATAATTCATAGTCTGCCAGTAGGGGGCGATGTCGCCACGAGTGAACCCAACTGAGGAATCGGCGGTGGAGTTTTCAGCTCAGGACGCGACGGTGCGAGAGCGCAGACGCTGCCCCGCTGCTGAGTGACGCTGCGATGTTGTTGTTGTTCTCCGCGCGGCAGATGCCAAGACAGGACGACTCAGCCGAGCCTCCCTCCTCCTCCTCCCATCGCCTGGAGTGCCCAGCCTCACCGAGTCTCCGGCTCGCCGCTCCACACGCTTCGACAGATCACCGTGTGACACACACACAGCACCAAACAGCGCCCTGTCACACCCACCAGCGTGCCTTGTGCCACTCTTAGACATACGATCGTGTTTCACACACATCACATGACCGTTACACACCCGTCACGTTGACACCACAAAGTGTTGCACACACCACCACACCCATTGCCGTGCCACACTCATCACCCATCACCATGCCACTCCCATCAGCTTGTCCCACGCGGTTGTCACACGGAGCGTGACGCCATCGGCATCACTGCATCCCCCCCCCCCCCCCCCCCCGGGGCAGCGCGATAACCCCGCTGGCTGCGCGAGGCAGTGGCGCTCCCCGGACTTTGTGTCTCTGGCTGGTCACGTGCTACACGCTGCGCTCAAGTTGTTCGTCAGCTACGCGAGAATAAACTGGAACGAGACCGCGATGTGTCCTCACCGCCGTGTGTATCTGCGCGCGAACGCACCCACACGTCAGTTCCACGCTCGCACCACAACAGCGATGCCGTGCGTTCATTAGGAAAGCCTAGAGTCTCAAACTCATTCTCTTGCCTGTGTAGGGACGTTGGAGAGAGGGCCGTTATGCATGGCAGCCTATGGGAAAGAAACACAGTGGGCGGGGCTACGTGTGTGCACAGGGAGATGCCCTCTGCGACGTCCGAGCCAGACACCCTGGGGGGGGGCTGGTTCGGCGTTACGATCCCCCGGGGCCCCACCCCTCAAGGAGGGTTGGGTATAAAAAGGGGTCGTTATATGGGCTTAGTCAGTTATGTTATAGTTAAGCTAAGAAGTCGGAAGACGTCGTAGCTAGAGCCCTGGACTCCCCCTGATCGCCGCCCTTATCAGGGCCCCACGGGATCAGGCTCGAGCCAGTGGCGTGGTCCCGTGAACCAGAGCCAGTGCTCTGGGACTCCGGGTACCGAGCCCGATTACCAGTGTCGGGCCAGACAGCCTCCCCTAGCTCTTAGTGGAGGACTCAGGGGATAGGCTATGGATAGCTAGGGGTATTCCCTGAGTTATACGGGTGAGGGGGCCGCTACCCCCTCTAGGGCTGTCCTGTACTGGCAACTTGTTAAATAAATATACGTGTGCCTCAACTCCGTTGTCAAGCGTCCTCGACGGGTACTTCATCTGGCGTCAGAAGTGGTAAAAATGGAAACGCGCCATACAGCTCGGACCAGGGTACCACAAGAGGAGGACGCCGCGGAGATCGCCGAGCCCGAGACAGAGCAACAAGATGGGGTGCAGCCGGAGCCTGGCGCCTTCTCACCGGGACGTCAGCATGGAGAGGGGCCGCAGCCAGATGCACTACGACTGGCTCACGAACGGCTGGCGGAGCTACTTTATGCCGCTGCCGCCACACTGGAAGGCATTACGCGGTTGGGGGCTGGTGGTCCACCGCAGGGCGAGGAGAACCGGCGGCCGGAGCACTTTCCCGCCATTTCAGCGACTTCACAATTTGAATTTCCCGCCATGGACGCCGCGGCTGTTCGGGGCGTGGCCAGCTTAGACATCGGCTCCGACATCGCCGTCGCCGGGGCTGCAGCGTCATCGCAGCCGAAGGATGCGTCATCGCTGCCGCGACAGGCGATGCCATCGGCCAGTCGCGCCGAGGCACCGCCAAAGGGAGGTGAAAGCAACCTGCGGGAGTCCACATCGACCGCTGCGCTTCACCAAAGGCTGCCCCCGCTGAAGGAATTCATCGGTGCGGAGGGTGACTGGGGCGGCTTCCGGCGACGCTTCCTCGCCCATCAGGAGATGGCGCGGTGGACCGACGAGGAGGCCCTTTGCGCGCTGCCGGCGCTCCTCGATGGGGACGCGCTCGCCGCACTCACGTCGGCGCCAAAAGAGAAGCGGGCTACACTACCAATGGCGCTACAGCTGCTGGCCGGGGTCTATGGACCTTCAGCCGAATGCCGTCAGCAGTTCTACGATCGCAGGCGGGGTGAAAAAGAGTCGCCTCTGGCTTTCCGGACAAGTCTTCTGGCGCTGGCAAAAACAGCCTTTCCCCGCATGGACGACGACGGCGTGGACGCAATGGTCGCGGAGAAGATCCTCCTCTTGGCGGACGACCTCGACATCGTCGTCATCGCACAAGGGGATGCAGAAATGACCTCCCTCCAGGCTGCGCGACTCCTCCACGCCAACCTTCTGCAGCAGCGGCGAAAGGCAAACAGGGCATCGGCTGGGCGTGCGGTGGCTGCAGCCACCCTTCCGTCAGAAGAACTTTATGCCGTCGACCATCGACGGCAACAGACGACGGGGGCGCGGCCGGGTCGGGACGGGCCGAGGCGTTTCGACCGTCCATCGTCTCCATCGGCGCTCCCGCGGTGCTTCAACTGCGGCATCCGGGGCCATGTCGCCTCGGGGTGCCGTTCTCCTCGACAGCGGGGGACGACGCCTCGACAGGACGCCGGCCCTCCTCTTCCTCCTCCCAAGCTCCAGCACCATGATCCGGCGAGTCGCGGCACCTCACATGTTTGGCCAACGCACCCACCTGTCGCACACTCTCGCACCGTAACGAACGGGGGGCCGGTGGGGCGCTGCGATGGACCGGCGCGGATCACTGCGGGGACTCAAATCGAGCCCGAGCGGTGGTCCGTGTTGGCCCATCGCGTGGTGGCCGCGGCGTCGGGATCGTCGGCCGTGGTCGGTTACATTGATGGGGTGGAGGTACGCATCATAGTCGATACAGGGGCATCGGCGACAATTATTTCGGAACTAATTTACAATATTCTACCGGTGCAGAGCCGTCCTTTGCTACCGGTTAATGTCCCTTTCTATGCCGCTAACGGGGGCTCTCTCGGCATCGTGGGACAGATTCGAGCGCAAATTTCTATCGGGGACATCAAATTGTCGGGGCCGATTTTTGTCTCCTCCTCACTGGCAGTTCCGTGCCTGCTGGGGACGGACTTCTTGGGCAGGATGCCAATTCGTATTTTGATCGACCAAGGATGCATTGAGCTTCCGTCGGGGCGACGTATGGCATTCCTGCCTTCCCCTGTAGCGACTCGGACGGCGTTCGCGACGGTACCGGCGTTCGTCGTAAAAACAGTGCGTGTGCCGCCGGGGGCACAAATGCTGGTACCTCTTAAACTTCGTAGGCCCTTCGCTAAGGGTGTTGGGGATCAGGGTGTTGTGCTGGGGCCGTCTAGGGCCGGGGTTAATGGGCCTCATTTAATTCCGGCCCAGACCATCGTAAGGGGGGACGAGGATCCCTTCATCGCGGTCCTCAATGTCGGGTCGCAGACAGTAGTGGTTCCCCAAGGGACTGTGCTCGCTCACGCGACGCCGGTGCCCTGCGAGGAACCTGCCGTGAACCACATTGACACTGCTGCTCGGACGCACCCGCATTCGGACGGCGATGAAGGGTGGCTCGACGCGCTTTGTGCGGGATCGACGAACCTGTCCAATTTAGAGCGCCAACGGCTTAGATCGCTGCTAAAGGAATTTTCCGACGTTTTCAGTCGGAATAAATACGATTTGGGTTGTACTCACCTGCTGCGTCACCATATTGACACGGGTGACAGCGCGCCTATTCGCCAAAATCCTTTTCGGTTGAGTCCCGCCGAAAAGGACCATGTCAAATCGGCTGTCGATGACATGTTAGCCGCCGACATTATCTCTCCCTCTACCAGCCCTTGGGGAGCACCGATTGTCCTGGTTAAGAAACAGGATGGCTCGTTGCGGTTTTGCGTAGATTTCCGTCGCCTTAATAAGGTTTCGGTTGCCGACGCATACCCGCTCCCACGGATGGACGAATCGCTGGACGCCTTGGCGGGAGCGCGATTCTTCTCCACACTAGACTTACTTTCGGGATTCTGGCAGCTTCCTCTGGACGATGATTCGAAGCCTAAAACCGCTTTCCGTACACCGCACGGCCTGTTCCAATTCAACCGGTTGCCGATGGGCTTACACTCAGCGCCGGCAACCTTCCAGCGGTTGATGGAATTGGTTTTGGCTGGATTGCAATGGGAATCGTGCCTGATTTATTTGGATGACGTAATTGTTTTTGGAAGAACCTTTGACGAACATCTCCAGAGGCTGCGGGCGGTTTTCCAAAGGATGCGGGCTGCTAATTTGAAATTTAAGCCCCAAAAATGCTATTTGTTTCGCGAGTCAGTGCGTTATTTGGGGCACATCGTGGGGCGCTCGGGTATTGCTACCGATCCCGCCAAAACGCAGTGTGTCAGCTCCTGGCCAATTCCGACCTCGGTGGGGGAGGTGAGGAGTTTTATTGGCTTCGCTTCATATTACCGACGGTTCGTCGCTAATTTTGCTACAATTGCCAAACCCCTACATGCTTTGACATCAAAAGGGGTTCGGTTCCACTGGGGTCGGGATGAGGAAGTAGCTTTCTGCTCCCTTCGGGATGCATTGGTGAAGGCTCCTCCTTTGACTTACCCCGATTTTTCGAGGCCGTTTTTGCTCGACACCGACGCGAGCAACACAGGTATCGGAGGCGTGCTTTCCCAGGTGGTTGATGGCGTGGAACGGGTGGTTGCGTACGGCAGTCGGGTGTTGTCTCCAGCGGAGCAAAAATATTGTGTCACCCGTAGAGAACTGTTGGCAATTGTTTTCTTCATCCAACAGTACCGCCCATATCTGTACGGTCAGCATTTCACTGTCCGTACGGATCATGCGGCACTGCAGTACGCCCTGAAGGTTCAACAGCCATCGGGACAATTGTCCCGATGGCTGGAGGTCCTCCAGGATTTCGATTTTGACACCACCTATCGTAAGGGCATTCGCCACACAAATGCGGACGCTCTGTCGCGCATGCCAACCACCTCCGAATGCGCATGCCTCCTGGGGTCGGGGCGTTGCAAGCCAGCTGGGGACATGACGGTTCCAGTCCTGGCGGCCGCCGCCGATGTTGACACATCGCTCCCCGATGAGATCGGGAAACAGGGAAGGGATTCCCTGCTTGGGTTGCCTGTGATTGAGTGGGGACGCCTCCAGATGGAGGACGCCTCCCTCCTCGCGCTGCGTCGTCGCGCCAGGGAGAGGGGGTGTGGGACGGGTGATGCCGACAATTGGGAAATACACGCGGGCTTGCTCATGCATTGGGACGGTAAATCCCACCGTCACCGGCTGGTAGTTCCTGCGGGGTTACGGGGTAAGGTGGTGTGGGCTGCTCATGAGCGCCTCCTCCACCTGGGTACCCAAAAGACCCTCGCCTCGCTCCAGCTGGATTTTTTTTGGCCGGGCATGACACGGGATGTCACGGATCTCCTGGCAGCATGCCCCCGGTGTGCGCAACGCAAACCACCAGCTCGGGAGTCGAACCCGCCGTTGCAGTCCATCACAGTCTCCAGGGTGAACGAACTCGTAGCGTTGGATATCCTGGGGCCGTTTCCCGCCACCCCTAGGGGCAATAGATATTTGCTAACAGGGGTCGAATACTTCACACGCTGGCCTATGGCCTGGCCCCTGGAAAATCAGTCGGCAGCAGCCATCGTGGACGCCTTTGTCCAAGGCTACGTCATGGACAAAGGTGCTCCGGAGCGGCTGCTGACCGACCAGGGTAAAAATTTTTCCGGGAACCTCCTCAAACAAGTCTGTGATCTCCTAGGTACAAAGAAGATTCGTACCTCTCCCTATCACCCACAAACTGACGGGATGGTCGAGCGTCTGCATCGTACCATCACGTCTATGTTGTCGCACCTGGTTTCGGAGTCACAGACCAATTGGGACTTGCAAATTCAAGGGGTCCTGGCAGCATATCGATTGGCCCCCCATGCTGCCACGGGATTTTCACCCTTCTTTCTCATGTATGGTCGCGAACATGACCCACCTGTTCGGGCACAGCTGCAGATCCCCGCGCCTCTAGGTAAAATTAAATTGGACGAGCACGTTAAATTTAACCTTCAAAAGCTAACCGAGGCGCGGGATGCTGCCATGCTCAATTCCCGCATGCGCCAAAAGGCGAATGAGCGCCTCAGACTTGCGCGCGCGCACGTGCTGCAGTGGAAGCCAGGGGAAAGGGCATGGCTGCACTGTCCCCAGGTACCGCTTGCGACCTCCTCGAAACTGGTACGGCCATGGCGGGGCCCCGTCGAGGTGGTCGAGGTTTTGCGACCGCAGTGCGTTCGTATCAAGTGGGGGAGGCGCCGGTGGTTCGTTCACCCCTCTAGACTAAAACCCTTCGTTGCGGTGCGGGACTCTGCTCCACACGCGCAGGGCCAAGCATGTGAGGGGTCGACCGACCCGGAGGGTCCGCCTCTGTTGATCTCACCTGACGTCTTGCCGGTTGCCCCGCCCCCAGGTTCTCCCGGAATGACGGGCTCGCGCACATCCCTCACGGGGGATGCCGAGGGTCCCGCCACTCCAATTGCGGACTCGCCTCGGATGGGACAGCGGCCACCGAATGGTCCGCCATCTGAGGTTGGCCCTTGTGACGGGCCTGCGGCAAGGACGCGCGCTAAAATGCGCAGACTCTTATAAAAACACTGGAACGCGAACAAGAAGTGAAAACGAAACGAAAATAAGAAGAAAATTTTTTTTATTTTTTTTGCGTTTTCTGGTACACTTTCGTGTGCTATTGTTGCTGGACGCTGCGTTCGTGTGGCGCTCTTGGCGCGTTGTTGTATTATGGCTGTGTGTGTGTGTGCGTCTTGTGTGCGTGTTGTGCGTGCGCTGAGGGTTCCGGGAAATGTACATATCTTGCCTCTACGGATTTCGTATTTATTCGGGGGGGGGGGGGCGCGTCGGTTTGTTCTCCCTTTAGGGGCATTGTTAGTGTTGTTGTTTAATTCTCGTTCTGTTAAATGGAAAAAAAATGGGGCACACACGGGGGGAGTCAAGGGGTAAAGATTCATTTGTTGAAATTGTTGCAGCCGGGACGGCTGCGAGCTATGCGGGGGGGAGTGATGTAGGGACGTTGGAGAGAGGGCCGTTATGCATGGCAGCCTATGGGAAAGAAACACAGTGGGCGGGGCTACGTGTGTGCACAGGGAGATGCCCTCTGCGACGTCCGAGCCAGACACCCTGGGGGGGGGCTGGTTCGGCGTTACGATCCCCCGGGGCCCCACCCCTCAAGGAGGGTTGGGTATAAAAAGGGGTCGTTATATGGGCTTAGTCAGTTATGTTATAGTTAAGCTAAGAAGTCGGAAGACGTCGTAGCTAGAGCCCTGGACTCCCCCTGATCGCCGCCCTTATCAGGGCCCCACGGGATCAGGCTCGAGCCAGTGGCGTGGTCCCGTGAACCAGAGCCAGTGCTCTGGGACTCCGGGTACCGAGCCCGATTACCAGTGTCGGGCCAGACAGCCTCCCCTAGCTCTTAGTGGAGGACTCAGGGGATAGGCTATGGATAGCTAGGGGTATTCCCTGAGTTATACGGGTGAGGGGGCCGCTACCCCCTCTAGGGCTGTCCTGTACTGGCAACTTGTTAAATAAATATACGTGTGCCTCAACTCCGTTGTCAAGCGTCCTCGACGGGTACTTCACCTGCATTGAGCTGTTTGGCAAATTCCTCATTTTGCACGGAGGAAAAAGCATCCGAAACAATCCCACGCCAAGGTCCAGGCAGAAGAGTTCACAAAGCCACGTGACAAGCAGCACGGCAGCCACGCGACGAGCGGGGGCCAACAATTGCCCAAGCTCTGCGGTCCCTTTGACACGAAGGCGATATTGGCCAAACGATTGTTTACATGTCGGAGGAACCCGGAGCACCTGGAGAGAACCCACGCGTGTGAGGGGGGACGCTATCCCACAGAGGGGACAGGGAGAGGCCACGTTTGAGCTGTACCGCCTTCTGGCGAACCCCCTCGATGCCCACTGCGAGGGCGTTTCAAAATGTCTGTGTGATGATCCACCACTCCTCACTGCTGACTACAGGCCACGTGCAGCAGAGCCACCTCCCCGTACACCCAAGACCCCTGGTGTTGAGGCGAGCTTTGTCCTTTGCACGGGGCAGACGGGGCTTGCTCCGTGGAACCTCCTCCTCGTGCACACCTGGACGCCCGCCCCACTGCCCCACAAAGCGAGGGTGCAATACATTACCACTTTGGAACAAGGTCCTTTATTTTGGTAAATAAGACATTACAAATACACGACGTATACCTGTACACATGCGCATTCACAAAATATTGGTCACCGGGGGAAACCAAAAGTGAAAGCTTCATAACAAGTCGGAGACGGGGCGCAAGGTCGTGGTGCGAGTGAGACAACGGCGCCTCCCCCTCAGGCCTTCATCTTCTTGCGCTTGAGCGCTTTCCACTCGCCCTCCTGCGTGGCCAGCAGGTGGTGCAGCTCCTTCACCTTGCGCTTGCGCTCCGAGTCTCTGTGAAGCGACACCCAGAGCAGTTGAAATGTGTTTGTCTCGTGATGCGAGAGGCAAAGGGAGGCGAAAAAACCCATCAGCTCCTGCACCGATTAGCACGGTTGGCTACATATGGTGCGAAAAAAGTTCAACATTCATATACACAAAGGTCTCCTGTACAGCCTTAGCAGACTTTTCGGGCAAGTGCTGTTAGCGAGCACCTATAAAGGCTGGCACGGCACACATGGGGGTGGGTGGCCAACACCACACAGTGTCCACACACACACACGTGTCCACACACACACACACACGTGTCCACACACACACACACACACGTGTCCACACACACACACACGTGTCCACACACACACACACGTGTCCACACACACACACACACGTGTCCCCCCACACACACACACACACGTGTCCACATACACACACGTGTCCACACACACACACACACACGTGTACACACACACACACAGGGTCCACACACACACACACGTCCACACACAAACGTGCACACACACACACACACGTCCACACACACACACGTCCACACACACACACACACACACGTCCACACACACACACGTGTCCACACACACACACGTGTCCACACACACACGTGTCCACACACACACACGTGTCCACACACACACACGTGTCCACACACACACACGTGTCCACACACACACACGTGTCCACACACACACGTGTCCACACACACACACACGTGTCCACACACACACACACGTGTCCACACACACACACGTGTCCACACACACACGTGTCCACACACACACACGTGTCCACATACACACACACACACGTGTCCACCACACACACACACACACACGTGTCCACCACACACACACGTGTACACACAAGCGCACACAAGTGACCACACAAGCGCACACAACAAAAGGCATGTGTCCACACACACACACACGTGTACACACAAACACCCGCGCGAGCGTGACGACGAGAGGGTGAGGGAGCAGGAGAGCGCACCTGTCCATCTGCTCCTTCAGCTGCTGTCGCGCCAAGAACTGCGTGTCCCTGCGGATTTCGCGCACGGCGCCCTTCCACTCCTTCTTGTGCTGCGCCACGAGGCGCTTGCGGTCCTTCTCGGGCCTGCTCCCCGCCTTCTTCCTGCCAAACTCCAGCCTGCGCCACAAACGCCGGACGCCACCACGTGCGCGTTCACGCACGACCCGGACCACCCCCCGGGTGCAACGCGTGCGGCACGCGGCCGCTCCCCAAGCTCCCTCGGCATCCATCTCTCTCCTACCGCCGCCACAGGAATGTGGAACTTCCACAACTCGCCGGGGGCCACCAAGAGAGCCAAGTGTCGCCCGGTGTCTAGCACAGCGCTCCTGTCTCGTGCTTTATGAACCGAGGACCCTTTCATAACTCAGTACTAACTGTGGTATTCACGCTATTATTGTAGGGTGCCGACGGCCAGCCAGTAGGAAGTGACGTTTCTGTGAGTAATCCCAATTCAGTAATTTGCAGTGATTTTTTCAGATTTTAAACCGTGACGCCAGTACACAGTGGGCCTACTCGCGTCAGGGGATTGATATATTTCTGGGTTAGGTCACGTAATAATCTGGGTTAATTTTTGTCATGTAACCCTCAACCACCCGACACGGCCAAACAAATTCAACTGCCACGAGTTCGAGTGTTCGACGCACCAGTTCCCGTCTCGACTTCGCCGGTAAACTAAAGAACAATTCTCACAACCAAATGCAGTAATGAGGTAAGACACGTCGCTTACTAGATTTACAAGGACTGCTCTGGACTGGTGGAGTGTTGACGTAGACCCTGCAAAAGGGACTTACACTTGCTCCACTTTGGGCTGGAACATCTTGAGGGGCTGCGGCCGGCTCTTCTCAAACTTGAGCAGGGTGAGCGTTTGCGGAGCGTCCAGGTCCGCCTTGATCTCCTCCACCATGGCCTGGAGGGTCGGACGAGACGACTCGTGGTTTCCACGCGGCACACAAACGCCGTCGCCAAGGCAGGCCACTTGGGCCGCTTCACGTGGTCCAACTCAACGGTATTCGAGTGGAAACCACGTCACTCTTGCACAAGAGGCCATCCTTGCCTCCCAACTTGTCGCCCCGTTAAATAGAATCGTAAACTGGCTAAGACGTGGGCATAGCGACCAGCAGCCCATCGGTGTCAAAGCCAATCGCTGGTGCATTCACGGGGCGGCTCCAAACAGCACCGAGGCCCGGATTCTAGTCACGGCTTAGACATGGCTCTAGCTAAAGTGAGCCGTGGCTCAGAGCCATGCGCTGAATCTGAACCGGCTCTGAGCACGGTCCCGGCCATGCTCAGGATTCTCAAGAGCCGAGCCTGAGCCAGGCCGCGGGTGAGCCATTCGGGTGTCGTTGGAAGCTACCGAGTGGCTCAAGCGTGAGCTGAGCAGGAGTGCTAGAGGCTGGGCCAGAGGCGAGCCGTCACTGAAAACACGGCCCTTCGTGTCTGCGTCGCAGGAGCCATCCGTGCGCATCGAGTGGCTCAGTGCTGGTGGAATGGTCGCACACCCCATGGGCTGCACGTGAGGCCAGGGGCACTTTCCCCGCAACTTCTCAAAGTGGGGGGGGGGGGGGGGGGGTGGTTCCGGGGATATCCAGCTTTTTCGGTGGGGCCCTACATTAGCAATAATAATAAAACTGGATGGGCACCTACACGGGAGCGTGCATGTGGACACGCGTGTACGTCCGTGTGTACGTCCGTGTGTGGGCGTGGGCGTGTGTGTGGGTGCGTGTGTGCGTCCGTGTGGGTGCGTGTGTGCGTCCGTGTGCGTCCGTGTGCGGGCGTGTGTGGGGGTGCGTGTGTGCGTCCGTGTGTGTGCGCGTGTGTGGCGGCCCCTCACCTGGAAGCTGGGAGGGTAGTTGCTCAGGTCGAGGTGCGTTCCCAGGAGCTCACGGAGCGGCTGGAAGGCCGGCGTGCGCGAGGGCAATTGCGCATATGCACGCACGCACTCCTGCACCAGCTCCAGGCACAGCCCCACTGCAGAGATCCTACATCCCGCGGGGGCGGCACAGGCGAGTGACGCGCGGGAGAGTGGCATGTGGGCGAGTGGCATGTGGGCGAGTGACGCGTGGCCGGGCGAGTGACGCTGGCGCTACAGGTGGTGGCGTGTGTGGTGGCACACGTGTCGCATGCTCACCGGAAGTGGTCGTGCGTGGCTGTCGCTGCGGTTGCCACCGCAGCGACTGCTGCGGTGGCGGCCTCGGGATCGGTGGCGACGGTGGTGATGTTGGCAGGAGCGGCGGTGGCGGCGGTAGCGGCGTCTTCGCGCTGCAGCTGGATGACAGCGCTGAGCGAGAGCGGCGCCTGGCTCCATGAGGCCAAGGAGGCGGCGTCACGCACCACCAGCAGCCCCCTCCCGCGCACGCCGGCACGGAATGGAGGAACCGCGCGCACGCCTGCCGCGCACCGCAAGGAGCACGCGGGAGACGACACAGAGATACGGTGACACGCGATACACACGAACGCCACGCGCTCGCCTGCCGTGCACACGGCACTAGCGACACACGTTGCATACACCGATAAAACGGCGCGCACCACACAACTCGCAAGACACAGCACAGACACAGCAGCAGTAGCAGGCTCATGGCTCTTAATGTGGCTCGTGAATGGGGAGAGTGGTTGGCACAGGGATCGGATGGCCACGCAATCGTGAGATTCCTGAATTACTACAAATGTTCTCATTTTGAAGCAGCTGCCTCTTAAAACAACAGATCTTTTGGAAATAAAGAATGGCCAATCAGCCAAAAAACGAGCATCGTTTGCCGTTGTCTGACTGCGCCAACCGCAGAGGGAGACGGGCGAGCGGGCACACGAGCAGAGAGAGATGGCGTGGCACGGCGTGACAGGGTGAGACGCGATGGTTACCTGGTGTCGCGTGCGGTGGCAGCGCCAGGACCAGCAGCCCGTGCAGGTGTACAAGCAGCTCGGGCACAAAGCGCTGGGACAGCCGCACAAACTCCAGCAGGAGGTGACACGCGAAGAGGCTGACACCCACCGCACGGAGACTGCTCACGGCACACTGGGGGATAACCACACGGCCACGTCCCGTCCACACAGAGACAACCACACAAAGACAACCACGTCCCGTCCACACAGAGACAACCACACGGCCACGTCCCGTCCACACAGAGACAACCACACAGCCACGTCCCCTGTAAGGAGTGCGCGCGAGCAAATCGCCCACCTGGGAAAGGATCTGGCTCAAGTAGACGGTGGCAGGGGTGACCACGGGGTGCCGGAAGTCGGACGTGGGGAAGATGAGTGACACGAGCTTGAGGTAGACGAGCTGGAACGCACGCGGCACAAACGTGAGCACAACCGCAAGCACAACCGCGAGCACAACCGTGAGCACACGCGGTGCACACGCGGCACAAAGAGTAATCGGTGAGTATGTAGAATTGTTGTCGAGCACAGGCCTAGTGGCCCAAAATGTCAAGTGGCCAGAAATTAACAGCACCAATAAAGTCGTAATAGATAAGATTGAACATGTTTTTTTATTTGAGCAAAGAATATTTTTTTAAAAAGACGGTGGGAGGGAATTCCAAGGTGGGGCGGTGCGAGGGAAGAAGCAGAAAGAGAAGCATTGTGACCTGCAATGTGGCGAGTGGGTGGGTGAGTGGGCGAGTGGACGAGTGAGTGGGCGGGTGAGTGGACGAGTGAGTGGGCGGGTGAGTGGGCGAGTGGACGAGTGAATGAGTGGGTGTGTTGTTGTGACCTGCAGCATGGGGGTTGAACACGGAGTGGTGAATGAGAAGAAACAGTTAGTCTGGGGGACCGAGTACTCAACGTGTAAGGAGGAATTGGTGAGTAAAGTTCAAGAAAGGAGTAAAATTGATGGGGTGGTAGGGAGGTGACTGTGAGTGACTGGAGTGAACGAATCAGTGTGTGCTGCATTATGAATCCATGTGACTGCTTGACATCCAATGTTATCAAGTACAGGAATGCAGCAGCACGCCTGTCCTACGCGACTTGAGACAAGACGGACAGGACAAGCCGCTCGTCGTCACGACGCCGTGCGATCGTCACACTCTGTGACAATCGCACACGTAGACCCCCCCCCCGCGCTCACCTGGTCCAGCGAGGGGGGGCGGCCGTGCTGGCTGAGCTCGCTCTGGCCGGCGGCGAGGACGGCCTGGAAGTCGATGCCCGCCTGTCGCGGGCACAGCCGAGCCAGGTCGTACAGCGGTCTGAGCTCACACGGCACACCACCGACACGGCACACCACCGACACGCCCCCTGTCAACACAACCGAGCTCCGCTCCGCACAGCTCCCGGCAGGCGGGCGCAGAGAGACCTTTACAGAGCGACACGCAGCGATCCTCATCCCCAACGTCACCCGTGTGACCCGATCGTCACCGGGGGCTAGGGAAGCATTGGGTGATAATAAAACGACATCACTTCCTGTTGGAAGGCATACAGAGCACAAGGGGGGGGGGGGGGGGGGGGGGGGAGTCACAGCCGTTGCCGACTGGCCTCGCTGAGCAGTGCCCTCACTACACTGCCACCGCCTGCCAGTGCACGATGCTCTACGGAGGAGCAACGGAGGAAAGAGGGCAGTGGCAGCTGTTGCTGCTAGGGCAGCTGGCTGTTGTCGCTCTCTAAACCCCTGCAGCATGAAGCAATCACAGCCTGCACCCTGTGGCACAGCGCAAGCAACTCGGCGCAGCACACGAACATCTGTACCGGGGTTTAACAAACTGCATCTACAAGCCCCTCACTTTCAAAGACACTGCCCACTGTGGACCCTGTGCCACGTCCATTTCATTTGTAAACAACTTTAACTCAACTTTGCTCGTCTACCCAGGAAAGCCTCACCGAGCCTCAAGACTCTTGTTCAGGAGGGTCTTGCCAAGTTTTTGCAGGAGGGGACGATGTTGCTGTAATGCCAAGAGAGTAACTTCTCGGTAATGTTACAGCATTGGGATGTTTGGTCAATACGAGTGACACTGCATTTGTTTTAACTAAGGGAGGAAACCAGAGAACCCAGAGGAGCCCCATGTAGAACAGGCTGAATGACAAGGACACACCACGGGGATTGCCCTCCATCGTCTCTTTTACCCAAGCTCGTACAACACCAACAATCACACCCTTGCTCCAGTCAAGAACCGTGTTAACTGTCATCCATTACATCTGAAACAGTGCTGTTTGTTACTGGCTACTTGATGTTTTGGGCCTTTGGGCCAGTGCCCAACTGGAGGCCTGTAGCGGACAGGGCGGCCCCCCGCGGGGAACGTGCGGGGCGGCTGGGAGAGCCTCAGGGCACCTGATGAGGAGGTCCACGGTGGGCAGATCGGGTGGGCAGCGCCGCGCCAGCTCGCCCACGTACTCGAGCACAAACCCACACAGCACCTGCACACGCACGCAGTCCACACACACACACCAGCACAGCTCAACTTGGGAATTCCCTCCTAATCGTCTCTTTTCCCAAGCTCTTACAACAACCTTGTTCAATTTGAGCAACGCGTGAGTCGTCATCTATTCTAACCTTGAAAGAATTTAACACTTTTGCAGAATTAATTCCGGTGTGAGCTGGAAATTCTGCAAATTCACCAGAAAATTTTACTTCGTAGGCAATCATTAGTCGGGGGAGGGCCGGGGGGAGTGAGAGGCGTGCGTGATGACATCGGCACCCTCGCCCTGCTCACACAGACCGAGCCGGCTCACACGCGGCACACACTCGGCTTCAAACAAGCACCTGGTGCGCTGTGTAAACATCAGCACGAGAGAGATAAAGGCGGCAGGGTGTGGTGCTGCCCAACCACCCCATTGTGTGCCGTGCCGGCCTTAATAGGTGCTGCTCACTAAGAGCACTTGCCTCATCAGTTTGTTAAAGGCTATACGAGGATCTTTGTTTTATCTTTGTCTGTATGTTTGTGCTATGGGGAGCATTCTGGTGTTTGTCATGCGTGTGTACGCGTGACTTGCTCTGCCCTCTACCGAGGTGTGGTGCAGAGCCTCAGCACCACTTCACCACAATGGTGGTGGTGACCATAACAAAGGTAACAATAACGATGACAATAGCAAGAATGACGGTGATGACAAGGGTTGAGGGGACCCTAACAGAGATGTGAACCCACGACCTCTCGATTACGAGTTGTACGTGGCGCTCACCAACTATAACACTCGGCTGGACATCAGGAGGCGAGATGGTGGTAGAGAGACAAAGATGGAGAGGATGGGTGGGGGGGGAGATGGTGTGGAGGAAGCAGACTCACGCCCAGCTTGGCTTTGTTGCCCTCAGCCAGGCTGGGGTGAGTGCAGGCCTGGACACGTGCCAGCACGGTCGCACGCTGCTCGGGCCGGTACCCGTCCAGTAGCGTCCGCAGCTCCTGCGCACTCGTGGGGACTGGGGGGGGGGGGGGGGACGTAGGTCGCAGTGAACATCGAGCGATCGGCTCGCGGGTAGCAACGTCGCAACCGCATGGCCGGCGACGCGCAGCGGCCATGCCATCGCGTGCCGGGGAACTCACCCGGGAAGGTGAACGGCATCTCCCTGCTCGCCGCCTCCATCGCCTGCCTCCGCTCGTGCAGCAACGGCGCCGCCTGCTGCTGCACGGCCTGCGTCCGCCTCCCATCCCCAATCGGGCCACCTGGCTCCCCATCCTCGTCCTCCCCATCCTCCTCCTCCCCATCCTCCTCCTCCCCATCCACACTCAAAGCCAACTTAAGCACAAAACTATCCATTTCCTCCTCCTCTTCCTCCTTGTCGTCTTCCTCAGAGCCAGCCTGTTCATCCGACTCCAGATCCGAGTGGTCATCATCACCATCGCTATCATCATCAGCATCATCATCCTCCTCCTCTTCATCCTCCTCTCCCTTCTCTTCACCGCGGTCGTCTTCCTCATCGCTGTCCCCGTGGGCTGCGGTCGCCTCGTCGGCCCAGGTCACTGTCTTCAGCTTGCCGTCCTACACCGCAACGGCCAAACCCGGAGCACTCAGCACTATCATCAGCACCATCATCAGCACCATCGCTATCCTCAGCACAATCATCATCATCATCATCATCATCATCGCTATCATCTTCATTGTCCCCCAGGAGAACACGATGCCTTGCCTGGTGCCCGGCATACCGGGGCTCGAGTTGCAGGCCATGGTTGGGAGGCGACCGGATAATGACGTAAATCAATGCAATCATTGAATCTATCCGTGTGGAGCGCTCAGTGCGATTGCCTCGTATACATATGGGGGTTTTCAGCCACTCAAGTTTATTTCTGCATACCAATCACTAAACAACGACTGTTAAGCAGCTCAGGCAATGAAGACCGTCATATTAACAGGCAACTACTTCTAAGCATTGCCCCGAGGTGACATGGCGCCCACAGAGCATGCACGGCCACCCACCCAGCAGGACGGTCTCGTTAACCTCCCCGGGGAACGAAGGAAGGAGCCGCACGTCGTCAATCGCACGGCGATGCTACGAGGCTGAGCTACCCCAAGTGGGTCCCGTGCTGTGAGAGGGTGGGCCCTGACCCGTGACCCCCAGCGGGCCCTGTGCTGTGAGAGGGTGGGGGTGGCCCTAGATCCCCGGTGGGCCCCGTGCGAGCCTGCACCTCGTAGGCGAGTGCCGGCGCCGTGGGCTCGTCGTCCACATCGAAGCCGTCGTGGAGGTCGTCGGCCGACAGGTGCTTGGGCCTCTCGCTCTGCGCCTTCTCCTCAAAGGCCCCGCGCATCCTCCGCAGCCTCGCCGCCTGCACGCAGCCAGCAGCGGATAGGGCAGGTGAGCTGTGAGCGGTGATTCGTGAGCGGTAAGCCGTGAGTCGTCAGCCATCAGCAGTGAGCCGCGGTGAGCCGTCAGTGGTGATCAGTGAGCGGTGAGCCGTGAGTGCTGAGCGGTGAGTGCTGAGTGGTGAGGCCTGAGTGGCGAGTCACAAGTGTCGAGCCGTGAGCCAGGGTTGCGCCACCTCTAGGTGCTGCAGTCGCTGGGCCTCCTCGCGCGCCATCTCCTCCGCCGTCTTGAGGCGCTCGCTCGGTTGCGCCTTTATCTCAAAGGCAAGCTCCCGCACCGCCACGTCGTAGGCCTCCATCTGTACATGGGGGGGGGGGGGAGGGGGGCAGCAGCAGCGGGAAGGCACTCAAGAGTCGCATCACAAGGCAGGGACCCGGCCTAACATAGCCCTCGACAAGAGTGTGACAGTCTCTGCGATTTAATTATTGAAACCTCCCCCACAACAAAATCCTCCGGTGCGCACTCCTACGCTTAACAGCCATTACCGGCGTAGAACATCAACGGGACTGTGGGCTGTTTCACCATGAGAGTTATCCCATGGTGGGTGATTCGAGAGGGAGTTGTTGAGGGTGAGGTGCGAGAGGTGGGAAGGAGCGATCTCCTGCACAAGTCCACCGGCTCCGCCTACCGCTCACCCGCGGTGCATCGTCCTCAGCCTCGGCACGCAGGGCCTTGGGCGATTTGTGTGGCAGCAGCGACTGGATCAGCTTCCAATCGGCATCGAGCTTCTCGGTGAGCTCCAGCGTCTGCTCCCGGGCGTTCTGTCTCTCAAACTGTGGACACACGTACACACACACACACGCGTACACACACACACATGCGTGCACACACACACATGCGTGCACACACACACATGCATGCATACACACGTGAATGCGCATATACTTGCACGCACACGCAAGCACGTATGCACAAACCCAACATCCACACCCCAAATTCTGCCACTTGCATCATGTGGATCCTAATCAAAGACCCAGCAGAGTCAACCTCCCTTTACTCTATCGTGTTATTTGAGCTGAGGGCTCCCCTCCCCCTCGGACCTCACAGAAATGCTCAGCCAACCTACAAACCTGTTGCTGGGGGTCGGAGATCAGATCACCGTTCTTTCCCTCGAAGACGGTAATGGGTGTGACGCTGGAACACGTAGAGCACACTCCTCCATGCACACTCGTGCTTCTACTGAGCAGCATAAACAACCACGCCTACCACGCTCCAGCAGAGCACACGGCTTCCTTGCCAAAGTGAAAGTGGCTTTTACCAAATTACTGCCGAGTCAGGCCACTGCCTCGTAAAGTTACTGCCGAGTGAAATCACTGGGTAGTCAAGCCACTGCTTAGTCATTACTTCGTTAAATACAGTTGAATAGAGAAACTATATTAGGAACCAGGTAAAACAAACTGAGCTCTGAGCTCTTTCTCAGAAGTGACCTGGCCACGTATGATAGCTCATCGCATTGGCCGAGCATGTGTGTAAACGAGACACAGCGGGTGGGCGAGCGAGCTGCACCTTCTCCTTCTTGGACTTGGTGATGAGCTCCTCGATGAGCTCCTTGCGGGAGCGGTGCGGCACCTCGGCAGCCGCCCCGCCCCCACCGTCCTCGCCCTCCCCAACCGGAGCAGCAGCAGCAGCAGCCTTCTTCCTCCGCAGCAGGCCCCCTCCGCCGCCAAAGTGCGCCTCCGTGAATTCCGCTGTGCAGCCACAACGACACCAACACAGCCACGTCGACACACGGTAAGAACACAGGCACCAACACAGCCAGGTGTGTGTTGAGGTGTGTGTTGCGGTGTGTGTTGCGGTGTGTGTTGAGGGGTGCGTGAGGGGTGCGTGATAACCGAGTGTGGTGCCGTGCCGGACCTGACAGGAGGCCGCGGTCGCCCGTGTCGCTGTCGCTGTCGGGGGCGTCCCCGAGCGCCTGCACGTCCGCCAGAGACTGCCCGTAGTGCGTGAGCTGCTCCTCATCATCCGCCTCGTGCAGCGCAAACACGTTCTCTCGTGTGTGCTGGCGCTGTGGAGGGAACGCACGGCTCACACGCTCACGTCTCGCACCTCAATAACACCGACAGATGGCTCGTTCACAGCTTTGGGCTTCCCCCGGCTGTACTGTGGGGGTCTCTACACGGCACAGGTCTCCCACATCGACGACACAGACACAGTAGACATACACACAGAAAGATACACTAGACATAAATACTAAGCACATGCACTAGACACACATAAGACAATAGACACACACACACTATATACAAAAAAAACAAAGATCCCTGTATAGCCTTAACAGACTGTTGGGGCAAGTGCTGTTAGCGAGTAGCAGCTATGAAGGCCAGAACGGTACACGAGGGGGTGGGTGGCCAGCACCACGCCCGACCGCCTTTGTCTTCCCAGTGGTGATGTTTACACACTGCACCTGGTACCAGTTCAGATAATTGTCACTGATGTTGCCCATGAGCGGGAATCGAAACTCGGGTCACCGGGTTCGTAGTGCAGCGCGCTAACCGCTACACCACCGCTCCCCACACGCGCACAAACACACACTGGGCAGTGTGTGCGTCACACCTGCCGCTCCTTGGCGAAGCGCTGCAACATCTTGTCCTCGAGGCTGATGGACGCGTCATTCTCTCCGATGCGCCGGTCCACGAACACGTTGCTCTTGTTCTTCTGCTTGTGCTCCTGCAGCAGCGTCCCCATGCGCTGCACGAGAGGGGCAATGTGAAAACTCCGCGAGCACTACCCACGCTACCCTCCCGGCGCCCCATCACGCCGGCACGAACCGTCGTTTACGATTTAAGCAAACGCGACACTCCTCTCGTTCGTGGTCTTATTATTCGCAACTCTGTATAATCTCACTTGAGTGACTAGCGGGTAATGTTTCAGTATTGGGATGTTGTTTGTTAAATTAGCCACGGGAGGAAACCAGAGAACCCGGAGCAAACAAAGAGGAAAACAAACTCCACGTGGAAGGGCGCTTGAATCTTGCTGAGGCGCGAGTGTTACCACCGTACCACCGTGCCAACCCGCCGCCCCTGTGAGAGATGGACCCTCGCATTTCCAAGCAATGAGAGCGGCGAGCCGGCCACTCTCTCCGTGTTCCACACATGCCTTACCTTCTTTATGGATTTGGAGCGGGACACGCCGGGGAGGCCGCGGTCGTGCTTCGGCTTGCGCCCAATGACGGAGAACTTCTGCCGGTTGATCTTCACCTCGAACGGGTTGGCTCGCACGTCGACCGTCTTCTTCGTGCGCCGGACCTTGTCTGCCAAGTTCCGCTTGGGCTTGGCCTTCCCCATGGCGCCGGCTCAGCGCTGCAGACACCACCCTCGATGAGCACGGTCGGCTCCATACGGTGCAGAGTAAGTTCAACATACATACAGTGGAAGGTGAGTGATGTACCTCTCCTACCTCACTCACTCACTCACACTCCACCCCCCCTCACTCACACTCCACCTCTCACTCACTCACACTCCACCCCTCCTTACTCAGTCTATGGCTGAGTGCGCGTCTCACCGACTCGAGTGGGGTCTCGGGGTAGAGTCTCTCCGAGTCGCGTCTCTGTGTGTAGAGCTTTGGCGCCTCACCGACTCGAGCGGGGGGGGTGTCTGTGTGGAGCCGCGACGACTCGAGAGGGTCTCCGCGTGGAGGCAAGTCGCCGCTGGCTCCTCGCTCCGCTCTCCAATCCGCACGTGCGCACCGCTAGCGAGCCGCCATGACAGTGCACGAGAGGTCAGGGGTCGGGGGTCATGGGAGGCAGGGGCGGGGCTCGCGGGGGACAGATCTCGCGAGAAGGGAGATCTCGCGGGCAGGGGGGATGAGATCTCGCGTGGAGGGGAAATCTCGCGAGATTGCGAGGAGAGGCGTGAGCATCCGCAAGAAGAGAGGCGTGAGATCTCGCGAGAAGAAAGAGAGGGGTGAGATCTCGCGAGAAGAGAGGCGTGAGATCTTGCGAGAAGAGAGGCGTGAGATCTCGCGAGAAGAGAGGCGTGAGATCTCGCGAGGAGAGAGGCGTGAGATCTCGCGAGAAGAGAGGCGTGAGATCTCGCGAGAAGAGGGGCGTGAGATCTCGCGAGAAGACAGCGGCGAGATCTCGCGGCGCGCCGTGGTTGTTGCCAGGAGACGGCGCGGTGAGGGAGCAGCAGGAGACGCCCGCGTTGTTTACGAGCGGGTTTGTTGATCTGTTGACGCGTTGTTGATGTGTTGTTGACGTGTTGTTGACGTTGTTGATCTGTGGCCGCGTTTCGCAGCGGAGTTGACGGACCGGGCGGTGTCGCGCAGGCATCGTGAGCGGTGTTTGGGGGGGGGGGGGCGAGGGGAGATCCCCGCGTGGAGCGGGAGACGTCCCCCGTGGGGGGGGGGGGGGCGCGTAGTCGGCGCCGCTTCGTTCAGTGGCACGCGTGGCCAAGCCTCGCCTGGCGAGGTGCAGACAATGACGAAGCTTGCATCCCCCCCCACCCCCCACAGCTGGAGCAGGTAAATCCGCGGTAGCGCATCCGGACACCGCCACTCCGGGGGCGCTCGCGCAGGTTGCTGCATCACAACCCGCCCCGCGTGGTGCTGTGGTGGTGGGGGCAGTGCTTCCTAGGAAGCCCTCTGGCTCGGAATCCCCACTGGGTTCTACAGGGAACCCACGCCCGCACGGTGCAACAACAACAACAACAACCGCCACGGCGGGCCGCGGGGTGTTTTGTCGCAGTGCGCGCGAGTCCCCGTGCGGATGGACCCGCGGCGCGGGGGTCTCGCCGTGCCGGTCGAAAAGGCCGCGCTCGAGTCTTGAAGGAGTTGCCGCTCAGGGCGACGCCAACAAACAGCGCCGCTGCCGCGTCGTCTCCGTGTCCCCGTGACCGCGATCGCCGCTGCTGCGGGACCTGCTGCGCTTGCGACGGAGTGACGAGAAACTCGCCTCGCGGCGAGCCGAGTTGGTTTGAACTCCGAGTTTGCTGCGCGTCGCGAGGCTTTGAGAGAGAACGCGGCTGGCGCTGTCGCAGGCGATGCCCGACAGCGGCTGTGTTGTGGGCGGCAGGCGAGGGAACTCCTCCTCCTCCTCCTGCGCGTGTCGCCTGCCCCGCGGGCTCCCGAGAAAGAGGGCAGGGGGTGTCATTGTTTGTATAATGTTGAGCTTCTTTCGCACCGTACGTAGCCAACGGCGCGAATCGGAGGTGCGGGTCGTGCCCATGGTGACATAGACGACTTATTGAGATGGTGTTTAAAACGATGGCTACGTGGCGCTGTGTGTGTCTCAGGAGCAATGGGAAACTACGGGGAGCTGATTGGGGAGGTGGTCGCCCTGCTGGATAAGATCACAGCAGGGGAAGAGAACCTCATGCAGATCACAGACGACATCATTCAGTCGCGCCAGGTACGTGCAGCGCAGTGGCGGATCCCCTCGACGCCCGACAGCTCCTATTTATACTTGCAAGAGGAAACGCATTGATTGTGTTTTTGTTATACAACTGTAGGGACCTATTTAAAAACCTTGGGAAGTTTGTACATGCTCTGTAGGTGCAGTCATGTTTGAGCAAGGTGATGTTTTAACAAAAAACACGGAACCTCTTTGTACCGCCAGCTGCTTGGGGAGGCCTTCACCCAGCAGCAGACTCAATTTGAATGAATGTGTATGTTTATCTCTCCATAAACCACAAAATTGGAACATTCTAACACCGCCAATATCTCGCGACGTGCTGTGGAGGGCTGGAGTGAAGATAACTTGGTGTTCCTCCTGGGAGTGCTGGGAGGCTGCGTGGAACAGAGGCGACTGCTCGCGGTCGTGGTCAACGCCTTCTACGCTCGCCACGGCAAGCACGTTCTGCTCAAGCAGCGAAACGTCTTTACAGGTGCGTCTCACAGTGCCCTGCACATTCCACTAAACAATTATCCCGCTTCCACCACGTTAAAGCCACTCAAAACAGCACTTTAAAAAAGTTATTTAAATCTCTTCAGGGCTCATAACAAGGACCCTTGGGCATTCACCATCGTCATATCACTTGTTGTTATCGCCGCATTCAAGAACCTTGCAAGCCTCTCACGACGAGGCCCTTGCCGTCACTACGGCATAATGGTGTGTCAGCTGTAGTGCACATCCCATTACACCTGTGTTTCCATTGCAGCAACGTCTCTCACTTTGTAGTCATTCATCATTCAATTCCTTTTTCTTCAGCTGCCATTTCACCTCCAGTTTCCCTTTTTTCCATCCAATGACACAGGACATAAACGTCAATTTCAGAACATCTTGTGGGAGTAATTTATAAGGGTAATGATTTGTGTTTGTTAAGCATTTATAGTGAAATGGTATCTCAGAGCACAACGCGGGAAAAATTAAGGTGAGCTCTGCTGGGCTCGATCACTAAGCCAGAGGGGATAGAGAGAGGGAGCTTAGAGGTGTAGACAGAGTAGTGGGAGAGGAGGGGGTGGGGGTGTGAGGAGGGAGGATGCAGATAGAGAGAAGTAATGGAGGATCAAAGCAGGATCCGACGAAGCCTCATTTGGATACTTGGTGTGGGACCAAGATCTCTGGGGTGGAGTTGGACCCCACGCAGGCCATTCTTGGACCAACACAGTCTGGTTTCAAGTGGTTCGTATGAACAAGGCGATACCCATTACCGGAGGCAGAGGAGCCTTTAGTAGGTTAATTGCGCCACTCACACGAGGGGTGAGATAGCCATGATTATTGTCCACATTCAGATCTGCCCCGTGCCTACGTTTGATGTCCATTATTTAAAAGAGTATTTATTGAAATTAGTAGTTAAATAGAGTGCTGTATCGGTGGTGTGGCTTCGTGCTGAGATAAAATTTCCACCACTGTCACGTCCGCTCACAGTCATCGCCTACCTGGCTGTGTTTCGCCTGGAAGAGCTGGGGATGACCAGTTTCACCAAGATCATCAACTCCCAAGACATACCCAGCATGCATAAGGTGACAATGCGTGCAGGTCACAATGTGTTCTCCATATTGCCACAGCTGCTGTCATTTTTTCAATGTTTCAGATTATTTATTATTGATTGTCTATCTTTCTTTCATATGCCATTTGAAAAGCAACTGACAAAACATTGTACCTCCTGTGTTGAGTTTGTTATTCCAATCGATGGCATGAAGAGTTACTTGGTGTAATCCAAGAACGCCACATGAAGTCATCTCCTCTGGACACCTCCCCGGTTCCTTGTTCACACTGCACCACAGCACTCACCGTCATGACCACCAATGTCACTAATGCTTCTTTCACATTTTTGCGTTTCCAAAATTCCTACAAAACTGATCAAGTCACCCTGCTTCTCAAGAAACCTGGCCTCAATCCAGACATCCCAGCATGCTATCAACCCACAACCAATCTCTCCACCCTCTCCAGGCTCCTCGAATGCCCCACCCTCACCCAGCTGAGGGCCCACATTACCTCCTTTCCAAACCTCTGCTCCTTCTAGTCTGCCTTCCGTCAGACCTACTGCTGTGACCACCAGCGGGGTCCTGCTGTTGTGAGCGGGGGTAGCCACTCGACCAAACAAAAACAGGGAAGAAGTCAGTTTGGTAATTACCCTGCCTGGACAATGCTACAACGTGGTCCCTTTGCCCACAAGCTTCGTCTGCCGTTGCCTATGATGCTGCAGTGCTTTCTCAGCGTGAGTTTGTATGATCACTGAACTAATGACACACGCGGGGACGGTTTTTCCTTGCAGTTCTTGACTTTCCTGTTTGACGAAGTCAACTTAAGCACCTGGATAAAGGATGAGTGGAGTCAGCTGTATGACATCACCTTCGTGCAAAATAACCTGCTGGCGCCACTACTCAAGTACGTTTATGAACACTTGGGCCAAGCGCATGGTTTAGGGCCACAATTAAGCCATGTAACGCCATTTAAAACTACTCGTGCTGTTTTATATCAAAGGATTTTTACGTGGGATTGGCACCGCCTCCACTTGCACGTGCCTCTGTGTAGGCAGGGCAGTGGCAGTGTCAACCAGCTCCACGTAACTAACAATGCCTCTGCTGGTTTAGTTTCACGCTGCATGGAAATATGAATAGATGAAGTTATGTTAAGTTCATTCAGTGAAGTCATTGTATTCTTTGCAAGAGAGGTGTCTGGTGGCGATTCAGCAAGGTTTCCTAGCTGTCTCTCCATCTTCTTTAATGTGTCACTTCGCTTCAGGCACTTTAGTGCTCCACATGTAAACGATGTACAATGCAATTGACCGAACAACCCAAGTCAGCTGATCCGAGATAAGAGTATCGAAGAATTATTGAGTCTTTGCTATTTCCTTACAGCATGTTAATCGCCCCTTCGGCAGACACAGCTGCGTAAGAAGTTCTCTTTGTCGCTTTCAGAAACAGAGAGGAAGTGCTTTGGCTGACGGAGCAGTTGAGAAGCCAACTGGACGGCACGAGTCCCCCGCGGCCGAAGCCCAAGACCACGGAGCCGCAGGAGTTCTCGCTGACCAAGCCCAAGCCACGGACTCTGCCTCTGCCGGATCGCGTCCCCTCCCTCGGCAAACCCAACCCCGTACGTCTCCCCTCCCTCGCCGTGCCACCACCATCAATGTTACTCGCTGGCGTGATCAGAAATACACCATGCTCCGTATCATTTAACTGCCTGTTTAGAAATGTTTTTTATTTGGTTAAACACTATTCATCGTTTAAAAATGTGTTATGTCACATGTAATATGGAGTCTGCGATGCATGGCCACAATTGTTTAATGCTGGCCATGATGATCGCCAGGCTTTTGCCATTCCACTGCTGGATGAAGGGG